TGCATACAAAGGAACATAGGGAACAGATTGCATACAAAGGAACATAGGGAACAGATTGCATATACAAAGGAACATAGGGAACAGATTGCATATACAAAGGAACATAGGAACAGATTGCATATACAAAGGAACATAGGGAACAGATTGCATACAAAGGAACATAGGGAACAGATTGCATACAAAGGAACATAGGGAACAGATTGCATACAAAGGAACATAGGGAACAGATTGCATATACAAAGGAACATAGGGAACAGATTGCATATACAAAGGAACATAGGAAACAGATTGCATACAAAGGAACATAGGGAACAGATTGCATACAAAGGAACATAGGGAACAGATTGCATATACAAAGGAACATAGGGAACAGATTGCATACAAAGGAACATAGGGAACAGATTGCATATACAAAGGAACATAGGGAACAGATTGCATACAAAGGAACATAGGGAACAGATTGCATACAAAGGAACATAGGGAACAGATTGCATACAAAGGAACATAGGGAACAGATTGCATACAAAAGGAACATAGGGAACAGATTGCATATACAAAGGAACATAGGAAACAGATTGCATACAAAGGAACATAGGGAACAGATTGCATACAAAGGAACATAGGGAACAGATTGCATACAAAGGAACATAGGGAACAGATTGCATACAAAGGAACATAGGGAACAGATTGCATATACAAAGGAACATAGGGAACAGATTGCATATACAAAGGAACATAGGGAACAGATTGCATATACAAAGGAACATAGGAACAGATTGCATATACAAAGGAACATAGGGAACAGATTGCATATACAAAGGAACATAGGAAACAGATTGCATACAAAGGAACATAGGGAACAGATTGCATACAAAGGAACATAGGGAACAGATTGCATACAAAGGAACATAGGGAACAGATTGAACAAAGGAACATAGGGAACAGATTGCATATACAAAGGAACATAGGGAACAGATTGCATACAAAGGAACATAGGGAACAGATTGCATATACAAAGGAACATAGGGAACAGATTGCATATACAAAGGAACATAGGAAACAGATTGCATACAAAGGAACATAGGGAAACAGATTGCATACAAAGGAACATAGGGAACAGATTGCATACAAAGGAACATAGGAACAGATTGCATACAAAGGAACATAGGGAACAGATTGCATACACAAAGGAATATAGGGAACAGATTGCATATACAAAGGAACATAGGAAACAGATTGCATACAAAGGAACATAGGGAACAGATTGCATACAAAGGAAAAGGGAACAGATTGCATATACAAAGGAACATAGGGAACAGATTGCATATACAAAGGAACATAGGGAACAGATTGCATACAAAGGAACATAGGGAACAGATTGCATACAAAGGAACATAGGGAACAGATTGCATATACAAAGGAACATAGGGAACAGATTGCATATACAAAGGAACATAGGGAACAGATTGCATACAAAGGAACATAGGGAACAGATTGCATACAAAGGAACATAGGGAACAGATTGCATATACAAAGGAACATAGGGAACAGATTGCATATACAAAGGAACATAGGAAACAGATTGCATACAAAGGAACATAGGGAACAGATTGCATACAAAGGAACATAGGGAACAGATTGCATACAAAGGAACATAGGGAACAGATTGCATATACAAAGGAACATAGGGAACAGATTGCATACAAAGGAACATAGGGAACAGATTGCATACAAAGGAACATAGGGAACAGATTGCATACAAAGGAACATAGGGAACAGATTGCATACAAAGGAACATAGGGAACAGATTGCATATACAAAGGAACATAGGAAACAGATTGCATACAAAGGAACATAGGGAACAGATTGCATATACAAAGGAACATAGGGAACAGATTGCATACAAAGGAACATAGGGAACAGATTGCATACAAAGGAACATAGGGAACAGATTGCATACAAAGGAACATAGGGAACAGATTGCATATACAAAGGAACATAGGGAACAGATTGCATGCATACAAAGGAACATAGGGAACAGATTGCATATACAAAGGAACATAGGGAACAGATTGCATATACAAAGGAACATAGGGAACAGATTGCATATACAAAGGAACATAGGGAACAGATTGCATATACAAAGGAACATAGGAAACAGATTGCATACAAAGGAACATAGGGAACAGATTGCATATACAAAGGAACATAGGGAACAGATTGCATATACAAAGGAACATAGGGAACAGATTGCATATACAAAGGAACATAGGAAACAGATTGCATACAAAGGAACATAGGGAACAGATTGCATACAAAGGAACATAGGGAACAGATTGCATACAAAGGAATATAGGGAACAGATTGCATATACAAAGGAACATAGGGAACAGATTGCATACAAAGGAACATAGGGAACAGATTGCATACAAAGGAACATAGGGAACAGATTGCATATACAAAGGAATATAGGGAACAGATTGCATATACAAAGGAACATAGGGAACAGATTGCATATACAAAGGAACATAGGAAACAGATTGCATACAAAGGAACATAGGGAACAGATTGCATACAAAGGAACATAGGGAACAGATTGCATATACAAAGGAACATAGGGAACAGATTGCATATACAAAGGAACATAGGAACATAGGGAACAGATTGCATACAAAGGAACATAGGGAACAGATTGCATACAAAGGAACATAGGGAACAGATTGCATATACAAAGGAACATAGGGAACAGATTGCATACAAAGGAACATAGGGAACAGATTGCATATACAAAGGAACATAGGAAACAGATTGCATACAAAGGAACATAGGGAACAGATTGCATATACAAAGGAACATAGGAAACAGATTGCATACAAAGGAATATAGGGAACAGATTGCATACAAAGGAACATAGGAAACAGATTGCATACAAAGGAACATAGGGAACAGATTGCATACAAAGGAACATAGGGAACAGATTGCATACAAAGGAACATAGGGAACAGATTGCATATACAAAGGAACATAGGGAACAGATTGCATATACAAAGGAACATAGGAAACAGATTGCATATACAAAGGAACATAGGGAACAGATTGCATATACAAAGGAACATAGGGAACAGATTGCATACAAAGGAACATAGGGAACAGATTGCATACAAAGGAACATAGGGAACAGATTGCATACAAAGGAACATAGGGAACAGATTGCATACAAAGGAACATAGGGAACAGATTGCATATACAAAGGAACATAGGGAACAGATTGCATACACAAAGGAACATAGGGAACAGATTGCATACAAAGGAACATAGGGAACAGATTGCATATACAAAGGAACATAGGAACAGATTGCATAGAACATAGGGAACAGATTGCATATACAAAGGAACATAGGAAACAGATTGCATACAAAGGAATATAGGGAACAGATTGCATACAAAGGAACATAGGGAACAGATTGCATACAAAGGAACATAGGGAACAGATTGCATACAAAGGAACATAGGGAACAGATTGCATATACAAAGGAACATAGGGAACAGATTGCATACAAAGGAATATAGGGAACAGATTGCATATACAAAGGAACATAGGGAACAGATTGCATATACAAAGGAACATAGGAAACAGATTGCATACAAAGGAACATAGGGAACAGATTGCATACAAAGGAACATAGGGAACAGATTGCATATACAAAGGAACATAGGGAACAGATTGCATATACAAAGGAACATAGGGAACAGATTGCATATACAAAGGAACATAGGGAACAGATTGCATACAAAGGAACATAGGGAACAGATTGCATACAAAGGAACATAGGGAACAGATTGCATACAAAGGAATATAGGGAACAGATTGCATACAAAGGAACATAGGGAACAGATTGCATATACAAAGGAACATAGGAAACAGATTGCATACAAAGGAACATAGGGAACAGATTGCATACAAAGGAACATAGGGAACAGATTGCATACAAAGGAACATAGGGAACAGAATACAAAGGAACATAGGGAACAGATTGAACAAAGATTGCAGATTGCATACAAAGGAACAACAACAGATAGGGAACAGATTGCATATACAAAGGAACATAGGGAACAGATTGCATATACAAAGGAACATAGGGAACAGATTGCATACAAAGGAACATAGGGAACAGATTGCATATACAAAGGAACATAGGGAACAGATTGCATACAAAGGAACATAGGAACAGATTGCATACAAAGGAACATAGGGAACAGATTGCATACAAAGGAACATAGGGAACAGATTGCATATACAAAGGAACATAGGAAACAGATTGCATACAAAGGAACATAAGGAACAGATTGCATACAAAGGAACATAGGGAACAGATTGCATACAAAGGAACATAGGGAACAGATTGCATATACAAAGGAACATAGGGAACAGATTGCATATACAACAGCAGGAGGGAAAAAAATAGTTTTAAAAAATCACCAGTCAAAGTAATATTCCTTCTAAACACTAAAAGTATATTACATTTGGCAAATTATGAACCGATGAATATTTTTTTCTTATTCTTGAAAAAAGTACAACCGGCGGATCTGTAAAACAAGAAATAAAATTGGTCTGGCCTTACTTCAACATTTTGTGCAACCTGTAGCTTGTTACCCACTTCCTATACCAACAGAGACATGCTGTGCAAAGTTTGATTACACTAATGGGATCTTCTGAGAAAATGTTGCTTCTTTCATATTTTGAAATATGAAATAATTATATATCTCCAGCCTAAACCTCTACTGCAAAGCTTGCCAGATGTGCCAGTGCATTACTACTTTATTATTGTGCTGTGTATTGGCAAAAACATATTCGATAAATATGTATTTTATATTAGTTTTGATTTGTTCTTCTTGAAGTCATGTTTGATTGCAAAGTATTTCATATTTTCTTTGTTTAGTTTATTGACCCATAGAATTGATATCTGCTTCTTCTAAAAATCTTTTTCTCTCTTTTGTAGAAATTGACAGATGTCCATGCAGACATTGTGGCAGACAGTTTGTTCCAGAGTCATTGGTAATTTGTGACACCATATTTGTCTAAATGTTTAAGTTAATGTTTCAACTAGGCTTACACCTATATGTTTACGTTTTTTCTGATATTCGGGTTAGCATTTTCCTCAGAAACGCGTTCTCTGTGCCGGTCCAACTTATCCTTGTTTACCAGTATATGCCACTTAAAGAAGATATGGAACATTGTTACACCACATATAACAATATATGAACTTGTTGTATTATTGTATAGGCAGTCCATGAACGGATCTGTGCTAAAAGTGCTCAGAAGAAAAGGAAAGTGTTTGATTCAACAAAACAGAGGGTTCAAGGCACCGAACTCAACTTACGTCAAGTGAAACAAGCACAGAAGAAGGTAAGACTGCCAGAACTTTGTTCAACCAAATGTCTTCATTATCCTTATATTCATTCAACAGGAAAATTTTATACTTTATAAGTTGAAGCATTGTGATGAGGGTTATACAGGGTTTTATGCGTTCCGTGTTAGGTTTTATCCACCGAGCCGGAGGCAGGGTGGATAAAACCTAACGAGGGACACATAAAACCCTGTGTACCCCTCAGGTAGTGTAGGGTTTTAGGCGTTCCATGTTAAGGTTGGTTTTAATGCATTCTGGCTCGGTGGATAAACCTAACGAGGGACACATAAAACCTTGTATACCCCCAAATCATGATGTCACAACAAATTTATCATACAGAATACTTAAATCTCTAATTATGTAAATATAACATTCAAACAAACTGAAGTTCAATCATATATTTTACTAACATGGTACTGACACGCTCACAGTGTAATGCTTACTCTCCTTCTTCACATGATTAATGAAAGCCGGAATTTTGGTTTCTCTAAGATTGATTTTAGCAATCCAAAGCAACTTAATTAGACTTTGGATTTTAACTTAACGATTGACTTGGGTAAGACTGGTTAGTGGAATGGTATGGCGATCATAATGTCACACTAAGATTGGTATTTTGGGGGTTTAGCATTGGCATAGGGCTATGATCGGTTAGTGGACCGGCACCCAGGTACATAAATTGTGCACCTAGATCAGAATTGGGGTTTAAATGATCAGCCTTGCCCCCATAAGAGCATACCTAAAGGCAATTACTGATCCTGGATCAAGAAATTATGTCCACTCCAGATAAAGCTTCAATCATCATTTGTTATCCTAATTAATTAGTGCATCTACATGGATGCAGCAACATCTGTCAACCAGTCCATGAAACAGATGCTCTGGGACCAATCATACATAGATTTAGGTTGGACAGGTGAGTATTATAGATGGTCATATATAGCATTTGAATTCACTGTAAGTTCAGTGTTTTCATCCACTCCAGATGTCAGGAGGAGGGTAGTCAGCTGTAACCCAACAATGTTACAACTATTGCATATGTAAACAACCTATCAACGATATCAATCAGTTTACATTCATGATTAAACAATCTTCTGTCAGCTGGTAGATCCACATGCAGAATGAGACAGGGCTGTAATGAACAACTATGTCAACTCTGTTGTTTTTTTCTGTTAGCTAGTGAGTTAAAGAGTTTGGTTTTGTTCAACCCTCTATTCAGACATTATATTGATGCTGTGAGTGAGTTACAGTTAGCTAGTGAGTTAAAGAGTTTGGTTTTGTTCAACCCTCTATTCAGACATTATATTAATGCTGAGTGAGTTACAGTTAGCTAGTGAGTTAAAGAGTTTGGTTTTGTTCAACCCTCTATTCAGACATTATATTGATGCTGTGAGTGAGTTACAGTTAGCTAGTGAGTTAAAGAGTTTGGTTTTGTTCAACCCTCTATTCAGACATTATATTAATGCTGTGAGTGAGTTACAGTTAGCTAGTGAGTTAAAGAGTTTGGTTTTGTTCAACCTTCTATTCAGACATTATATTGATGCTGTGAGTGAGTTACAGTTAGCTAGTGAGTTAAAGAGTTTGGTTTTGTTCAACCTTCTATTCAGACATTATATTAATGCTGTGAGTGAGTTACAGTTAGCTAGTGAGTTAAAGAGTTTGGTTTTGTTCAACCTTCTATTCAGACATTATATTAATGCTGTGAGTGAGTTACAGTTAGCTAGTGAGTTAAAGAGTTTGGTTTTGTTCAACCCTCTATTCAGACATTATATTAATGCTGTGAGTGAGTTACAGTTAGCTAGTGAGTTAAAGAGTTTGGTTTTGTTCAACCCTCTATTCAGACATTATATTAATGCTGTGAGTGAGTTACAGTTAGCTAGTGAGTTAAAGAGTTTGGTTTTGTTCAACCCTCTATTCAGACATTATATTAATGCTGTGAGTGAGTTACAGTTAGCTAGTGAGTTAAAGAGTTTGGTTTTGTTCAACCCTCTATTCAGACATTATATTGATGCTGTGAGTGAGTTACAGTTAGCTAGTGAGTTAAAGAGTTTGGTTTTGTTCAACCCTCTATTCAGATATTATATTGATGCTGTGAGTGAGTTACAGTTAGCTAGTGAGTTAAAGAGTTTGGTTTTGTTCAACCTTCTATTCAGACATTATATTGATGCTGTGAGTGAGTTACAGTTAGCTAGTGAGTTAAAGAGTTTGGTTTTGTTCAACCTTCTATTCAGACATTATATTAATGCTGTGAGTGAGTTACAGTTAGCTAGTGAGTTAAAGAGTTTGGTTTTGTTCAACCTTCTATTCAGACATTATATTAATGCTGTGAGTGAGTTACAGTTAGCTAGTGAGTTAAAGAGTTTGGTTTTGTTCAACCCTCTATTCAGACATTATATTAAAGATGCTGTGAGTGAGTTACAGTTAGCTAGTGAGTTAAAGAGTTTGGTTTTGTTCAACCCTCTATTCAGACATTATATTGATGCTGTGAGTGAGTTACAGTTAGCTAGTGAGTTAAAGAGTTTGGTTTTGTTCAACCCTTCTATTCAGACATTATATTGATGCTGTGAGTGAGTTACAGTTAGCTAGTGAGTTAAAGAGTTTGGTTTTGTTCAACCTTCTATTCAGACATTATATTGATGCTGTGAGTGAGTTACAGTTAGCTAGTGAGTTAAAGAGTTTGGTTTTGTTCAACCCTCTATTCAGACATTATATTAATGCTGTGAGTGAGTTACAGTTAGCTAGTGAGTTAAAGAGTTTGGTTTTGTTCAACCCTCTATGCAGACATTATATTAATGCTGTGAGTGAGTTACAGTTAGCTAGTGAGTTAAAGAGTTTGGTTTTGTTCAACCCTCTATTCAGACATTATATTAATGCTGTGAGTGAGTTACAGTTAGCTAGTGAGTTAAAGAGTTTGGTTTTGTTCAACCCTCTATTCAGACATTATATTAATGCTGTGAGTGAGTTACAGTTAGCTAGTGAGTTAAAGAGTTTGGTTTTGTTCAACCCTCTATTCAGACATTATATTGATGCTGTGAGTGAGTTACAGTTAGCTAGTGAGTTAAAGAGTTTGGTTTTGTTCAACCCTCTATTCAGACATTATATTGATGCTGTGAGTGAGTTACAGTTAGCTAGTGAGTTAAAGAGTTTGGTTTTGTTCAACCCTCTATTCAGACATTATATTGATGCTGTGAGTGAGTTACAGTTAGCTAGTGAGTTAAAGAGTTTGGTTTTTTGTTCAACCCTCTATTCAGACATTATATTGATGCTGTGAGTGAGTTACAGTTAGCTAGTGAGTTAAAGAGTTTGGTTTTTGTTCAACCCTCTATTCAGACATTATATTAATGCTGTGTGAGTTACAGTTAGCTAGGAGTTACAGTTAGCTAGTGAGTTAAAGAGTTTGGTTTTGTTCAACCCTCTATTCAGACATTATATTAATGCTGTGAGTGAGTTACAGTTAGCTAGTGAGTTAAAGAGTTTGGTTTTGTTCAACCCTCTATTCAGACATTATATTGATGCTGTGAGTGAGTTACAGTTAGCTAGTGAGTTAAAGAGTTTGGTTTTGTTCAACCTTCTATTCAGACATTATATTGATGCTGTGAGTGAGTTACAGTTAGCTAGTGAGTTAAAGAGTTTGGTTTTGTTCAACCTTCTATTCAGACATTATATTGATGCTGTGAGTGAGTTACAGTTAGCTAGTGAGTTAAAGAGTTTGGTTTTGTTCAACCCTCTATTCAGACATTATATTGATGCTGTGAGTGAGTTACAGTTAGCTAGTGAATTAAAGAGTTTGGTTTTGTTCAACCCTCTATTCAGACATTATATTAATGCTGTGAGTGAGTTACAGTTAGCTAGTGAGTTAAAGAGTTTGGTTTTGTTCAACCCTCTATTCAGACATTATATTGATGCTGTGAGTGAGTTACAGTTAGCTAGTGAGTTAAAGAGTTTGGTTTTTTGTTCAACCTTCTATTCAGACATTATATTGATGCTGTGAGTGAGTTACAGTTAGCTAGTGAGTTAAAGAGTTTGGTTTTGTTCAACCTTCTATTCAGACATTATATTGATGCTGTGAGTGAGTTACAGTTAGCTAGTGAGTTAAAGAGTTTGGTTTTGTTCAACCCTCTATGCAGACATTATATTAATGCTGTGAGTGAGTTACAGTTAGCTAGTGAGTTAAAGAGTTTGGTTTTGTTCAACCCTCTATGCAGACATTATATTAATGCTGTGAGTGAGTTACAGTTAGCTAGTGAGTTAAAGAGTTTGGTTTTGTTCAACCCTCTATGCAGACATTATATTAATGCTGTGAGTGAGTTACAGTTAGCTAGTGAGTTAAAGAGTTTGGTTTTGTTCAACCCTCTATGCAGACATTATATTAATGCTGTGAGTGAGTTACAGTTAGCTAGTGAGTTAAAGAGTTTGGTTTTGTTCAACCCTCTATTCAGACATTATATTAATGCTGTGAGTGAGTTACAGTTAGCTAGTGAGTTAAAGAGTTTGGTTTTGTTCAACCCTCTATTCAGACATTATATTAATGCTGTGAGTGAGTTACAGTTAGCTAGTGAGTTAAAGAGTTTGGTTTTGTTCAACCCTCTATTCAGACATTATATTAATGCTGTGAGTGAGTTACAGTTAGCTAGTGAGTTAAAGAGTTTGGTTTTGTTCAACCCTCTATTCAGACATTATATTAATGCTGTGAGTGAGTTACAGTTAGCTAGTGAGTTAAAGAGTTTGGTTTTGTTCAACCCTCTATTCAGACATTATATTGATGCTGTGAGTGAGTTACAGTTAGCTAGTGAGTTAAAGAGTTTGGTTTTGTTCAACCCTCTATTCAGACATTATATTGATGCTGTGAGTGAGTTACAGTTAGCTAGTGAGTTAAAGAGTTTGGTTTTGTTCAACCCTCTATTCAGACATTATATTAATGCTGTGAGTGAGTTACAGTTAGCTAGTGAGTTAAAGAGTTTGGTTTTGTTCAACCCTCTATTCAGACATTATATTGATGCTGTGA